CGTGGATTTGCATGCTTTAGAATTGCTAGGTAGCAAAAGCTGGGGCTAGTGATGGGAGTTCACCCCATCATGCAGCACCCAAGCCGTGAACTGCTCATCTCATCCTAGTCAGGTTAACATCTAATCCTAGGGCCTTTGCAGACTACTAGAAATAGTGCAAATTGAGTCCACTTTAACTGCCCTAGCTCAGTGCTAGGGAATCATGGGAATTGTATTTTTTTCTAAGACATTAAGCCTTCTCTGTCAGAGAGCTCTGGTGCCACAATAAATGACAGTTCCCATGATTCCTTAGCACTGAGTCAGAGCAGTTAAAGTGGACTTAATTTGCACAAATGCTTTCATTGTAGCCGCAAGCGATGTTGAATACCAGCCGTGGAAAAAGATGGGATATGAATAAATTAATCAGGATGATGATGACATGGGTTCTTGTAGCTTTGAGCAGTATCCACACTGCAGAAATAATCCAGTTTGACGCCATCTGAATTGACATGGCTCAGTGCTGTGGAAGTCTGGCAACTGTAGTCTTGTGAGACATTTAGCCATCCTTCAAAGAGCTCTGGTGCCACAGCAAAATAAAATTTCCCAGAACTCCATAGCATTTAGCCATGTCAATCACAGTGGTGTCAAACTGGATTATTTCTGCAGTGCAGATGCCAATCTTACTCTCCAAAAACCTTTTCCAAGTTCTCAGGCACTCAAACATTTTGTCCTTTGGCCTGATAAAATTACACTATATTCCTAACCTTGAGACAACTTAAGATGCCAGAAGCACGTTGTAGCAACATGCCAGTTAGGAGTCACTCCCCAATCCTTTTTCCTTTCTCTGAAAAGGAGGCACCTTTGTGGGCCGTATGGGGAGCCTGGCTAATCAAATTGGCTTCTTCTCTCTATCCTACTAGCAGTTTTCCCTGGCAAGTAAATTACATACAAGGACACAACACCATCATTGGGAAGAAAATCATATTGACCTGAGCTGAGGCCATCTTATAAAAAGCACTTTCTTGTATTAAAATGGGGAGGGCCTTTTGAAGAGTAAGAACTAAAGGCCCACTCTGAAACACCAATTAGATTAGCACCAAAATAAATAAATAAATGCGGGCATTTGTTGTGATTACAATTTGTCATTGCAGAACTATAGCAATGTTTCAGACATTAAACTAAAATGCCCCTTTCTTTGAAGCCAAAAGATCTGGATTTATATCTAGTAGATGGATCAACTGAATTATTTTTCAACAGTATCTAGGATTCTTTCACCACACACAAATATGGAGCTATGATTCCACTTTAACTGCCATGATTTCATTCTGTGGAATCCTGGGTTTGTAGTCTTGTGAGGCACTAGAGTTCTCTGGTTGAGAATTCCAAATACCCTTCCCTAAATTGCAAAGAGGCAGCGTGGTATAGTAGTCTGAATGTTGGACTAGGATACTGGGATGACTTGAAGGTACACAAGAACAACAAAGGAAAAACTGTTAAAGTGGAATCACAGTACACTTATCCCTCCACATTTGCAGCTTTGGCTTTTGCAGATTTGATTATTCCTGGATTTTATTAATATGTTCTCTCTAGGAATATCTAGGAGGTCCTCCAGCACAACTCTATTGTTAACTTTAACCAAAAGTCGCACTGAAGGACCTAGAAATTCCTAGAGAGAACACTCCACTAGGCATTTATAGCAATTTGCAGTACAATTCTTTGGTCAATGTCTGGCAGATGTTAACCATAGAATTGCACTGGAGGACCTAGAGATTCCTAGAGAGGTGTTCTCTCAGGTAAAAAAATAGTGTCTTTGTTATTTGCGTTTTTTTCACATTCACAGGGGTCCACAGCAAATGTGGAGGGATGAGTATACTATAATTATCTTGTGTGAAAGGGCCTCTGGTGTGTAGAATTACTGAGTTGGCACATATACACCCAGTATTAATACATAATCGTTATACAGTTGGCCTTCCACATTTGAGCTTTTGTCTTTTGCAGATTTGATTATTTGTGGATTTGATTAATATGGTTTCTCCAGGAATCACTAGGTCCTCCAGTACAACTCTGCCAGAAGTTGACATAGTGTGGTGCTGGAGGACGTAGAAGTACCTAGAGAAAACATTTCTCTAGGCATTTGTAGGTCCTCCAGTATGATTCTGTGATCAACATCTGGCAGATGGTGACCATAGAGTTGCACTGAAGGACCTGGAAATTCCTAGGGAGGTGTCCTCTCAGGTAAAAATAACAGTGTTTTTTTATTTGCAGTTTTTCCACATTTGCAGGTGTTCTTCACCCCTAACCCCAGCAAATGTGGAGGGACCACTGTATACTATGGAACCTCACAATGTAGAGTGTTTTTTGTTCATGATGCCCCTGGTATTACAATAAGCCATGTATGCATCCCAGATTTATTTCATTTTCTTTATAACTGCAGGGACTTGAAACCAGACAACATGTTGCTATCTAATGAGGGCCACATTAAGCTGACAGATTTTGGATTGTCCAAAGTTACTCTGAACAGAGGTGAGACATGGAAAGACACACACAAAATATGTGTGTGTGTGAGAGAGAGAGAGAGGGAGGGAGGGAGAGAGAACTGTTTCCAAATATATGATAATGTTTACCGTTACAGTAGCAAATGCCATTTTATCCATAGTCACATTTAAAATAAGCATTTCTTGTGTGTAGAGTATAAGCTAGGCCCAAAGGCTAGTACAACTGGCCTAGCATGTCTGGAGGAATGTTGGACTTATTTCTCCAACAGCAGTCATCTGAAAAATTATGAAACAATGATGACTTTTAAAAGTAATTTCCAGTGTGTCATTTGTGAAATTTGTATGAAGTAATATTTGGCTTTTAGTGTCTTCTTCTGATACCTGTAACTTCATCTCTTTATAATATTATTTACTTATTTTTACATTTACATCCCCCTTTTTTAATGAAATTATCACCAACAGATTGTAACAATTCAGTGCAGCAGAAATGGTTCATGTTTTAGTGTTGGGGATCCAAGGAATGGTGTAGTACAGAGCTTAGAGATAGCGTGTTGCAATTTAGTATGATATGATACCTGGAATGAATAACAAGGCAATAACAGTGTTGCATTTGTTAGTTAATGCAATGACTGCCAAAATATATGTGCTTTATGTGTTTGCCCCATCAGCTATTTTTACCCATACAGTGGGCCTTTAGTATCCAATGGGGTTTGCTTCCAAGACTCCTCTATGGATAGCAAAATCCATGGATGCTCAAGTCCCACTGTATACAGTGGTGTAGTAAAATGGTGCCCCTTATATAAAATGGCAAAATCAAGTTTTGCTTTTTGGATTATTTTTTTTACCAAGCTGGTAATTTTTTTAAATTATTGAACTATTTTAACATATATACAATGTGATACATGCATACCATATCATACCCCCTTATTAGAGATTAGAATCATTACATAGTTTAGAAACCTACATTCAATATGTGAGATATGGATTTAATTACATTACTGACTTCATTGTACTCCTTATTCCCTTTGACCTTCTCAAGCAAAATTTCCCAAACCAAGTTCCAAACTTCTTCCCTTCTTCAATATATTTTAATTTTCTATCTCTAAAAATATAGAACAGCAAGTTATCTGCCAAATACTTATCTACTTTGTTCATGTTCCAATTTTTACTTTCTTTCCACCCTGATACTATTACAGCTTGTGTTGCTTTTAATATATGCTTAACTGCTTTTTCTTCATTATTATTCATTCCCTTATTCTTCAAATTTAATGTTATACAATTCTCTTTGCTCAAATGAACATCCTTGCCTATTGTTTTATTAATCTCACATCATTTACTCCAAAATTTCTGAACAAAAAGATATTTTTGTTTGAATCTGTAAATGTAGAATCTGTGGATATGGCCAACTGTACTTCAGAACAGCACAATGCTTACTATCAAGCCAGTCCAGAAAATAAGGCCAGCCACAATTCCTTGAGTGACTCAGGAAAAAGAGTTGTATTGCTCTGAGGGGCAGGTAGAAGCTGTAGACAGGTTTGCTGTCACGAGAGGTGAGGAGCTCATTTTAAAGCTTCCTTTTATTGTTAAGTAACATCAATCTTGCCACCAAATGTAATGAAGAACGTGGCTTTATTTTTTTTTTATTAGAATACCAGCAATGAATAACATAACAAATTACTTCCCAAAAGTAATTTTCCAAACTCTGTAGTGGCAAGAATTGGCATAGGATTGTTGTTATTGTATGCCTTAAGTCATTTCTGACTTATGGTAATCCTAAAATGAACCTGTCATGGGGTTTCGTGGGGTGCAATTTGAGTTTCCCAGGGTGGTAACCCTTTTAAAGGAAAACAAAAACACGGAAGTATGAAAATTAAACTTGTTAGAGTCCATCTTTCATTAGCTGAGCAACAGAAGAGTGGGTCAGACTATTTTAAATCTGTCATTCCTAAAGAATAAAGATTTAACTCAGAAAAAAAAACAGCAAACATCAGTTTGTAGTTTAAAAAATAAACAACAGTGGCTTTAATTAAATATTTACATAAAAGAACTAAAACCCAATTTAACTGGAGGTGGTTTGGGTAAAGAGAGATAAATCTCACCATCTTTTAGATAGCAGGAAGAGACACTACAACTTACTAATGGCTTGAAGTAGTTTAGAATCTGCCTTCAAGATTGACAGGAGACACATGTTTAGATAGAATGGGGGGGGG